AATCTCCTCAAGTCCTGCCGAACGCTAACAATACTCTTTACATTACTTGTAACAGTTTATCGTGCTAAATATCTTCGCCACCGGCAATCCTTCCGGAATAACAATCAGCGTTAGCCGTCACCGTCGCCAATTCTTCAATAAAGGTATCCTGTTGTCTTCACGCTGCGTCCTCTTCAGAGCTCCCGTACCTCCACTGCTGTAGCAGACGGGATACAAGTCCCCATCCCGCTTTCCAGTCAGCACCAACTGGTTCTGTACGTATACTTTCGCCTGTCCGCCGCCGAAGACCACACTGCCTCCACGATCATCAATGATGCGGACCGATATGATTTTGGCGGTGGCCTCCTCGTCGACGTAGACCTTCTTGAAAGTGATGGCCTGTTTATCGTTGACGTTAGACCGAATCGTAAGCGTGCCAACTTCAGTCGGTCGAAGAGATTGTCCCTTGATGCCCATGATGTTGAAGCGCTCCCACGGCTCCAACAACCGCACGTTGAAAAGTTCTGAGCGGTCATACGTTATGTGGTGAGTGGCGGCTGAGTCCAGAAACCATTCCGTCGGACGATTGCTGTTGTATGCCACGAATGCTACCTGCCGTGGAACTCCTGGCCCCCTAGCTGATCCACCGGATCCTGGCTTGCTGCCGCTAGCTCCGCTGCCACTACCTCCGTTGCCACTGTTGTTGTAGTACCCACCCTTATAGCCAGAATTTGACGACTGCTTCAGCGCTTTAAGCTGCCTGCAGTCCTTAACCACGTGCCCAGGCTTATTACAGTAGTAGCAGATGACTTGCTTCCGACTGTGTCCCGAGCTGTTGTTAGCCGGCCCCCGGCTACCATAACCAGAAGTAGATGCGCCGAACGTCGAACCGCCGACAGACGCGAAGGCTGCCGACTCGGTAGGCTTGCCCGACCCACCGTTAGCCGTCTCGATAGAGAGAAGCTTTGCTGTGACGCTCGCCATGTCCAAATCGCCGTCGCGCATAAGTAATGTAATGTAATGTAATGTAATGTAATGTAATGTTACAGAGTGGGAGGCTTCTGGGCCGCTTTATCACATTGTCAGTTCTAGATCATTTATCACCTTATAGCACCATCCACCACTACCACACTGTACTTCGCCATACGAACTGTAAGTCCAAGGCGGTGGGTCCAGCCTTCAGAGACCCCTCCTCATCCATTCACCCGAACACCCGAAGAGACGGAGGGTTCGGCAATCGCCACCAATCCAGCGTGCGAATCTGGTCCATCAGCTGTGACCTCAACTTCACATCTCAGCAGGTAGCCATAATCTCGCGCTCCCGACTAATTCGGGGGTCTCCCCAGGAATCGAACCCAGGACCTTAAACCGCTAATTGCAGTAGTGTCAACCCAGACCAGACCAGACCAGACCAGTAATGTAGTCGTCACCACGCTGTACCGACTGGGTAGACCAACTAGCACGGTGTACGCCAGCTCGGAGTCGTTAACCACTAATTCTTGACGTAGAGACACCTTGCGGGCGTTGTTGTTGGCAGCAAACATAGATCCCAAGGCGTCCCAGGCCTTCTTCGCGTTGGCAGCACCGGTAACCATCGGCAAATGATGATCCTTGACGTTCTTGATGAGCAGATTGATGACCTTCCGTGACTGTCGAATTTGCTCCTCGTTGCACGGCTCGGCGAGCAGGGATTGCTCAAGCCCAAGCTCCATGCACATCACGCTAAACCGAATTTGCCAGGTAGAGTAGTTGTTGAGGTCCAGCGACTCATCAAGCTTGTCCTTAACCATTGTCGATGAGGGATAGAAATAACAATTGGGCGATAGCTGTCGGCGCTAAGCGGGGCTCATAACCTATTGAAGAATTGGCGACGGTGACGGCTAACGCTGATTGTTATTCCGGAAGGATTGCCGGTGGCGAAGATATTTAGCACGATAAACTGTTACAAGTAATGTAAAGAGTATTGTTAGCGTTCGGCAGGACTTGAGGAGATTCCTGGTAGGAATACCGATCGTTGTGAGATAAACTAATAGGCGCAGTCACCGCCCTAAATACCGGCGCTAGCGGAAAACTCGTACATTCCACGATCTCACTGCGCCGTCCAGACGGTGCCCTAATGTCTATCACTTAGCTACCGGATATGCATCGGTAGCCCCATAAGGTTCTGGGGTAAGTCTTCCCCATTAGTCAGGCGCAGACCCGGGGTCAAATCCCCTGGTCGACAACCACACGAGTTGGGAGAGGACCGTTTCCTCAACACTGCCGTTGTACGACGACAAGTACATCAACAGCAGCAACAGCAACAACAGCAACAGCAGCAACAGCAACAACAGACACAGCAACAACAGACACAGCAACAGCAAACACAGCAGCAACAACAGCAACAGCCACAACAACGACAGAACCAGCAACCACAACAGCAACAGCAGCAGATACAGCAACAGCCGCCACAACAGCAGCAGCGACAACAGCAGCAGCTCTCATACACAACTACCAATCAACAGGGGCTACCGACATCAGCTCCTATCCCCAAATCTCACTCCATCACGCACCCCTTGCTGGGTCAACCGATTCAAGACGTAAACATTCTGGCCGGAAATAGGCCAGATGAACAGCAATGGCAACTACAAAACAGACGGACGCATCGTGGAAACCCAAGTCTGCCCACTGACCAACCTGTGCTGGGCAAACATGCGGACAAACCAACGTCACGCACGTCATCTCCAGGGGTCACTCCCCAGCACAAGAGGCGGGACTCGGTAATAAACCCGCCCAGGTTTCATGTTCTTCCACATGACGACCCGGGTGACCTCATGCAAGTCGGCGAGGAGGAAGAAGTGAGAAATAGAATAATAGTGCGCGGAAATGGAGATACGGAAATACCCCCTAGGTAAATGGGGCGACGGACAAGATGCAGGAGGCCTAATAATAGACCCCTTCGTATAGCGTCCCATAATGTAGCAGGTTTATTTACGCATTCGGCATTTACTCGTATCCATGCTGCGGCTAGAGTATGGGCCCAACATAGGTTGGATGTCATTTGTTTACAGGAGACACATCATATGGGAGATGGAGACCTGACAATTCTCACTAGAGAATTGCAATTCGCGGCTCAGAAAATAGGGATACCGGGATGGGATATAATAGCACAATCCCCCACGACCAATGCCCGGACGGCTGGAGTGTTAGTGCTAGTGCGCAAAGATCTTTATCGCGACTTTAAAATAATACAAACACCGGCACGACTACTTCCGGCTAACATTCCCCAAGGCCGTAGCGCGTCGGTTTCGTTCACGTGGTCACCGTATTCATTTGATTAATTTGTACCTCATGACATCTACTTAATCGATAGATCAGAGGAAGGCGTGTGTGCATTCTCTTGGCGATGTGGTAAACAGGATAGGACAGGATGATCATTTGCTTTGGGCTGGAGATTTTAATTTTGTCCATAATCCGAGGCTAGACTCCATCACAGGAGAAGGGAGTAGACCCGCGGACTTGTCCTTAGCTAAGGCTTTCTCCGAA